ATGTGTTTGCTAAACGATACACGCCTTACCTTGACATATGGCTATCAGACATACTGATGATTTTACTCTACCTTTAGAGTTAGGTACAAACCTTTGGGTTCATCTGAAAGATGAGTGAAAACTAACGTGGTTCTTTATCAAGAGTTGCTTGTCTACCAGGTGACCTTTTACTTCAGAGACAACTACTTAAAGAACCACTAAACCTTGTTTTTTGTTACTCTTTTAACCATAACATATGAAAGATTTGAGGTTAGTCTTATGCGGAACGCCAAATTTATTCTTTAAAAACTTGTGGTTAATTAATACCGAGCGATTAAAAGTGGCCAAAAGTCGCCTGCTTCCCTCTCGCCCACCAACGAAACCACAGACAGGTTAAGTAACTCTGTCGCCAGAGCACTGCAGTGACGTCATATGAGGAACGATTTTCAGTTAGTTGTATAGAAAGTGTGTAGCACGCTCATCATTTTGATGATTTCTCGACATCAACGACGACATGCCGAATCTTTGCTTTGTCGAGTCAATTGCTCCTAGGGTCGAGGCGATGGTGTCACCATGCACAGATTTCCCCAGGACCCGCAGTTCGTGCTAAATGGGTTATGTTTGTGAGTCGCGGCGGCGTTGTGGAAGCCTGAAACCATATCTTACTTGTGTTCAGATCGCTTCACGGAAGTTAAAGAATCAAAACTACTTACTAGTTGTAGTAAAATATGTATATGAATGATGACCATAAAGATTTTCCATGACACAACTTGTGACATACTTGATTTCTTCCTCGGAAGTGAGGTTGTGGTCAAGTAACAATAATATTGTAAATAGTATTATATTGACCACCCACCTGCGCTGCCAGGAGACATTGTTATGTTATAATGCTATATCATGCAAAATCCTATTGGCCATCAATAAAATACATATTTTACAACCAGTGAAGAAATTAGTTTTGATTTTTGTAACTTCAGTGAAAACAAACCTAAATAGCATTTATCCTCAGACTGGCGGATGTTTGCGACAGAAGCATGCATTTTGAAAATGCGTAAAGTCTGTTAGAATTTATGAGATTATAGTTTGCTTTCATCAAGTTAGAAAATCAAAACTACTTTCTACTGCGTGAGTTAAATATGTATTGGAATCATAACCAAAGCGGATTTTGCATGACACAACTTATAACATATAACGATTTCTTCCACGGGCGAGGTGGGGTCGAAGTCACAATACTCGCCGATAAATGTCTTGCTACATTCACATGGTTAATGTCCACTCACCAGTATGTAGATACTAGTCAGTAATGTAAGTCTTTATTTTTGGTCTTATAATCCTAATTAGTTTATTATCATACTTGTATGAATTTTGAAACTAAATAAAAAGCAGACGATCTGCTGATACTTATAGTGAATTTATAACAGAACTGTAATATCTAGACATTTTATAGTTTGCCAATGTGAATCATAATTCGCACACACACCCAAGCGTATGTTGTCTGTCTCATTACACTTCACGGCGAAAACAATGATTCTGTTGAATGCTACGACAAATGAATGAAAACAACATGCAAACATTAAAATTAAAACAGATTAAAGTTATAAGAACAATATCAGGCCATTACCTTGTTCGAGGAATGTATCCATCAATATCCACAAAACTGTTCCAAATGATGTGTCCTGAACAGTTTGATATACGAAAAAGTGATAAATCTTCTCAGGTATTGGTGTATAGTCTCATTGGTCACCCAAGATAGCACACCTGGCAACTAATTGCATAATGTCTGCCTTTCTTTAAAAACAGTAAATTAGTTAGCCAATAATGGACAATCAATCAATTTATCGCCGGTTAATCCTTTGAAAGAAGGGCGTTGTTTTTGACGCGAGACACCGACATCGACCGAGTGTATTCAGTGTAGATTAGTAAATCTACATACATAAACACTACCTTTTGACAATTCCGCTGTATAAGATAAAAGTAATTAATCAATCAGCGTGTTATCGGTTAATCCTTTGATCGATGTTTATAATGTTGAATATTTACTCCAGGCACAAGAAATGCCAAATGGGGACCTTTGTCGGGTAATCTAAGTGTGTTACCACTAATTATACCTGTTATAAATTCATTAACTGACCATCAAGTGAATGATGACAAATAACATGTGTAGGTTTATACCACCTAACACGGGTTACAACGGAGTATTAATTGCTGTATTGCATGTGAAAACTAATGGGCGGACACTGTTTTGAAAATACAAACAGATTTTTACATGACATGATTAAATATCGAGGTAAAAAAACACAGAAATGGGATCAATTTGGATCAGCCATTATACAAATAGGGCCCCTAACGACACCAATCGATTTTGACAGAATCGTCTATGAAAACAAGTTGTAACTTCGGAAACTAGGCAAAGCCGAGACAAACTTAAATGACAGTAGATTGTGAGAACATATAGCTTTCATTTTCCACAACAATTGTCACGATTTCAGGTTTATACAAGCCTGTAAACAAGATAATTTACCCCCTAAAATGTAGATGAATTCTGCATCGGCCCTCAAAGCTATTCCTCATATGACGTCACAGAGACGCGCCGCTCTGATTGGTTAAAATTTCGTTCGCGGGTGAGAATTGTGCACTGTTGTCAAAAAGGTCGATTTAAGTCAATTAAAGGTCGAAATGAGTAGTTTTAATGACGGGGTTTCAATCATAACGATGCCAGTAAGTGATTTATGTATTTGTACCCCCTAGGGTTTATGTGACCTTTAATGTTTGAAAATAGGCTGTTTCAGATTACGCGCTACAATGCATTAATATTTGACGAAGCATACGGAGATAGAGGACACTAACGTTATATTTATTTACGCTAACAGACAGAAATTGTACAGAGAAACAGTAGAGAGAAAATGAGTTTAAGAGAGCGTTCTCTTAAACAATGCAGTTCTCTGTTGGCCCTAAGTAAATCATGTCAGGCCTTCTATTGTCTAGATACAGATCACATGAAGGTTAATTAAAGCTAAATGTGTGCTTTATGTACATAACGTGTTGCAGCAGTCAAAGCTTGCATTCATTTAGAGCCTGTTGTCTAGCGAGCATATGCGTCCTGGTGTCGCGGTCAAAACTGTGTTACTAGTGGTATGGATTATGGATTGACAATTCAAATTGACGGGTATCACCTTACTGAGCGCTTTAGGGATTCTGTTTGGGACTTACTGTTGTAGGTTCTATGCTTGAACACCTAGCGGTGACATCTCTCATGACTATGCAATGACGTCACGACTATAACGAGGTAGAATTGAATAGTTAAGAAGTCTGCTTGTGGTTCCAACGAGTCCGGGAAGTATGTAGTGCTTCCGTTTTCACTTTTGGTATAGTATCCGCTATTAGTATGCTGCGTATGTGTTCAATCGCCATTTAAATCTGAAGACCCGTGCACGAAGTAGTTCTCACATGACCTGACTATCACTCGGTAAAACAACAATCAACCTTGTGTCTCGTTTATTTATCACATTATCAATGCAGTACGTTAAACTGGTTACAACTATACACCTGGAAAAAAGCTAAGCACCACCCGTTTTTGCAAGATGAGAGAATAAAAGGCCTTTGTATGAACACAATGGGGCCTCTTGCACTAAATTAATGTTACGAACCTGTAGATATGATAAATGTGTGCACAGAGAAACGCAAGCCCGGAATGTTGTAACAGTTACTCGTTGTATTTTGAACAAATGCATGTTTCTCACTCTTTCCATAAAGCTTTTAAGTTTGATTGTGGGACCATCATGTTTTAAACAGTAATAAGTGTCTGCTTTCTCAAAGTTGGGAAAAACAGTCCTGTGGCCATTTTAATAAAAGAGTCAGTATTTTGTGTTACCACCATGAACACGAATGACAGCTTCAACTCGCCTCCTCAATGCTTGGACCAGACGTCGTAGCTGCTGTTGCGGTAGCTGCCGCCATTCCTGATGAAGAGCTGTTTCAAGTTCATTAAGATTCTGCACCGGTGGTTGTCTTTTGCGAGTTGTCCGACCCAAAAAGTCCCACACATGTTCAACAGGGTTAAGATCGGGGGACCGTTGTGATGGCATTCTGCTGTAGCAGATGTACAGTAGCATGTGCACGATGAGGTCGAGCATTATCACACATAAACATGGGACTAGTGGTTTCAAAGTTAGGGATCACACCCTGTTCCAAGATGTCCCTTCGGTACTTTTCTCCATTCAAGTTGCCTTGTACAGTGATGAGGTCCAGTTTGCAGTCATGCGAAAAGCACCACCATACCAACACAGACCCCCCGCCATATGGAACTGTTTCCTTGATGTTCCTTGCAGCACATGCTGTATTTGGTGTTCTCCAGACTCTGGTCCTGCCAACCGTAACATGCAATAGAAAACGACTTTCATCAGACCAATAGATCCGTCTCCACGTTCTCAACTTGTGTCGTTATCTGAGTCTACACCATTCCAGTCTGACCCTCTTATGACCAATGGTCAGCAAAGGACTTCTTACAGGTCTTCTTGCCCGATAACCAGCAGATTTCAGACGATTTTTCATTGTTCTTGTGCACTCATGGAAGCCACTCATGGTGCAAACGTGTGATTGAGGCAAAGGGGTTCCGTCTTACTCCTGTGCTGAGGTTACTTGTGGTCGCCCTGACCTTGGTCTGTCCCTGACAGTCTGGGTTTATTGATGTTTTTGATGCAATCTGCTTATTATTGTATTGTGTAACCCAAGTTGACGACCGATAGCCCTACATGATAAACCAGCATTCACCATGCCAATAATACGCCATCTTTCTGCTTCAGTGAGTCTACGACTAGGCATAATTGTACTGAAAGCTTTATAACACGTAATGTTTCACTCTAGGATAGTCTCAAAGTTATGATCAACAAACTTGCATTTATCAGATTAGACAATTGTCTTATTGCACGTGCACGCCGAGTAAAACCGCTCTCCTCGCGCACGTACAAACACGTTCAAATCGTGCATGTCACATGTCACATCAACATGATTAATGTAATGTAATGGGTTTTCTACTTATACATACTTTTATCAGGTGGTGCTTAACTTTTTTCCAGGTGTATATATCAGGGATATAATATCTCAAAGTAAACAGATCAATATTAAGACATGTATCGAATCTTTAGTTCATAATCGTAGCACTATGGCAACAGATTCTAGTCAAAGATACTATGGATCAGTGGACCTGTGAATGTTTTTTTTGGTTTAACAGTTTTCGCATGAATTTGTTGCAGCTACAGGCTTGGTTGGTGAGTATTGTCACCTTTGTATTACTTAAATGAATTCTTTCAACTTTCTACAAAGCGCAAACTTTAAGTTCAGTTATGCACAACCTTTAACTTCGGATATTGTGTTCACAGCTTAGCTGATCAGCGTACCTGGGATGTGTTTCTATTATGTCTATTACATTTAAGTATAACAATTATACTTTTAAACAATTAGGTATAACAATTTCCATCAGGATCACATCAGTTGGTCTATTAACTCACATATAACCAATCACATATAGTATGACCAGAAATTATTGAGAATTTTAGGAATATGTTTAATTGGATTTCTAGTATAAACAACCTTGACCAGCTATCAAGTGCTTGGTTTCATTCAAGAGAGACAATTCCGTTAATCCTTTTTCATTAGTTTGTGAAGAGTTATCCCCCTTTGTTTACTTGCTAGCAGACGACATTTTCAGTAATCCTCAGTATGGATGATTTAGAGAAGAGGAAGTTGATTTGAGAGTATTATAACAAGGACATCAGATCAGCTAAAGTGATTTCAAGTAGAACAGGCATCCCTTTGTCCACTGTTTATCGTGTTTTGAAAAATATTGCAAATGGATATGGCATTGAGCACCAGGTAGGCGCAGGTAGGCCCAGAAAACTGACTGTCGGTGACAGGAGGCGGCTTGGTATTCTTGTTTCTAAAAACAAACAAAGGAGTTTAGAAAACTTAAGGCTGGATATGATTGATAGAGGAACTGTGGCTATCTGTAAGGAGACAATTAGAACTGAGCTGCATGCAATGGGTGGGCAGAAAAGTCGAGGAATTCCATCACCGATCACGAAACCTGAACAAAAGGAGCGAAGGTTGAACTGGTGCTTACAGCATAGAAATTTTAATTGGGACAATGTGATTTTCTCAGATGAAAGTTCTGTGTGGCTGTTTCCTAATACACTGAAATTCTGGACCAAACAAACTGAAAAACCTTTGTATCAGCGCCCAAAGTACAGTCCAAAATTTAACGTTTGGGGTTGCATATATGTGTTAGGGGCAACGCCCCTCTGTGTATTTGAAGGGAATATGAACAGTGAGCGGTACACAGATATTCTCGAGGGACATTTACTTCCATCTGCTCACGTGTTCTATGGAAATTTTTGGATTTTCCAGCAGGACAACGACCCGAAACATCGTTCAAAGCATTCACAGGCCTGGTTTCGGACCCAACATATGACATTATTAGATTGGCCAAGCTATAGCCCTGACCTAAATCCAATAGAAAATGTTTGGGGACTTATGAAGGAAAGTGTCAATAAGAAAAATCTGACAAATATTGCTGAAATGAAAGAAGAGGTGGTCCCATATTGGGACAGCATGGACCACGACTTTCTAACTTCTTTGATCAGTAGTATGCCCCGCCGCTTTGAAGCCTGCATTGCTGCCTATGGTGACTTGACAAAATACTAATTGTTCACCTGTCTTTGAATCTGGAGTTATGTTCTGCTAATATTCACATTTAATACGTGAGTATGAGTGAAATCTTTTTGAAAAATTACAATCTTTAAATTCTCAATAATTTCTGGTTGTACTGTATATACTAACGGTAAAAAATAACTGTGCATAAAATAAAATTGCATAAAATAAAGGTTATTTGAAAAGTTATAAAAACAACCCTAAATAAACATGTAGCAAAGAGCTTTGCATGAAATCTGAGGTCACATATCGCGCGTGGCACCTGTACTTTGTGCACAATGAACTTACTCACTTTTGCATGCATTTTGACAACTAAATATATTAACATTGATGAACGGTTGATTATTCTCCAGCCTCTGAATGTTGTGGAAAACACATTAATTTTAACCTAAACTGCACATACATCATGCCGCGGCTTACAGAAAATCAGCGTCTCTGCACCGTAGGTATGCTGGAGACTGGTATGGCCCAAAATGAAGTGGTCAGACATTTTGGTGTCCATCGAAACAAGATCTCATCTCTATGGTGACGTTTGAACTATTGGGAATTGCCTCGAACCGACCGTTAACGTGTGGCGTCACGTCAGCACGATAACAATCTCAGGAATCGACTCCAGACTGCCAGTTTGACTGCTCGGAACCAACTGATGGAGCACAACATCCGGCCCCGACGGCCTGCAATACGTCACGTTTTGCTCCTACGTCACCGACATTCACGCTTTGCCTGGTGCGGACAGCATGTACGGTACAGGAGACAAGATTAGGATGGTGTTTTGTTCAATGACAAGTCGAGATTTCATCTTGACAGCTCATATGGCTGGGCAAGGGTGTACAGACGTCGAGTTGAACGGTATGCTGATGCGTGCGTCGACAGTGTAGTGACGGGAGTGTTATGGTATGGGGAGACATCACATCTCAAGGTCGGACACAACTAGTCATTTTCGATGGCATTCCTACAGGCCTTCGATACAAGGATGACATTATTGGGCCTCAATTGCAGCCGTTCATTCAAGGACACAGACGTAACTTCACGCTTCAGCAAGATAATGCCCGCCCATATGTCGCTTGTGTTGTGACACATTTCCTGAGACAGCAGAAAATTCCGGTACTCCGCTGGCCAGCTGTTTCTCCGGACCTGCCCCTTATCGAGCACGCTTGGGATGAAATGGGGCAAAGTTTACGTTAAGTTCAGAAATAGCCATTGTCGTTAGCTGAATTGGGCCAAGCGCTGGTTCAGACATGGAACAACATTCCCCAAGCTTTCCTCAATCGCTTAGTGTTGTCAGTATGGTGGACACACATGATACTGAATGTGTGAACTGACTTTTGACACCAAATCCCCACAAGGGCGTGCCACGATGGGTAGTATCAAATCATACAGATTTCGGTATTATCCTGTCAGCAGTTAAACAATGCTTATGGAAAACATCACAAATCATGTTACTATCTATAACGTCAAATAATGCACAGTTACTTTATTCCAGTTGTATAGTATGGCTGATTATGATATTATATACTTATATTGAAATTACAAGGATGCACTGATCACAAAATGTGTGTAAAGAGAAACGGCAAAACCCTTTCCACATCCGAAAAATATCTCTGCTTAAAGCACAATCGATTTACAATTCTGACTGACCCTGCATCCAGCAGTATCACAGCTGTACGACACGGTCTCTATAAACAATTGGACAATCCAGTGATTGACACCATGATCTACGTCGACCAAGCATGTGTTTGTGAGTCACTTTTAATACCAGGTGAGCGTATCTTGCCCCACTGGTGGCACTCGTCGTAAACATATGTGTGTATATTTCGATAAAGGGGCCACCGGCCCATTATACATGTAAGTTAGTGCTACAATACGTTGACGAAACGCCATAACATTCTCATATACAGGTGTTGTGTTTAATGCAGTATTACATATAATGGACATTGATAGCATCAACACGATGCAAAATATTTGTTTCGTTTCTTCTCAGCTAAAAGAAATATATTTGGCAAGATTAGTTATGATAACATTGTTTTTTTATGTGAATAATGAGATAAGCTTAATGTACGATGGAAAAACAATAAAATTCTTGCAAGAGATCTGATTGCAGGTCGTGATAAGATGGACATCCAAGGCAGAAAAGTAATTCAGGTTCAATAGTAGGTCTAACACAGAAAGAGCAAAGACGATCTTTGCGGTCAAGTTTGAGACATCTTCCCTACTCAATCATTAGATAATGGTTGGAGCAGCGAAACTTACACAATGCAATGCAGTAAGCTTTTCCTATGACACACTAAAATAATATTCTTCAGAAAACTGTAACTTATTTTGTCTGTATAACTCAAGTTTGGAATATTTACGAAGGTCTGAAACCAAATTTTGAACGTCAATATCAATACAACTCTGTTTAAATTCAATTAGAAACTGCTGCATGTTGACAACGCGCTGGTGCATCCACACTTGTCCAAAACCATAAGTAAACAATAAAGTTTTGACTTTTAGTGCCCAGCAATCAAGGTTTTTTTCAGCTAAACTAAACTGATACTTATATACATTATACAAAATTACGTTATGCAAAGGGCTTGTCAACTATCCATCTGAAATAATTCGGGAACGTATGGTACAAGTCAAAATAGGGAATTCCATCGAACATCATTTTTGTCACTGGTGCATCAAAATTTGGAATGTACACTTTGAAGGCTTTACTGAGACCTTGAATGTTGTATCCTGGATTAAAAACTTCTCAGCAAGAGTGGTATGACGCTCTTTGAAATGTTTGTAAAAGGAGCATGCTCGATTGTAAACCCCAGAGGCTGGAGGTGTTGGAATACTGCTCGACTTGAAAGGAAAGTTGAAATCAAACCTTTTGTCATACAGCCTTGTGGAGAGCTTTTTATTCTTGTATTGGCTGCCTGATGCATCGCATGGAAATACGCTATGTTACCCGTTGAACGTGGATGCAAATGAAAAATCATACTGAACAACTATGCGTGTACTTGAGCCCATTGCCAATATTCCATTCATGTATTAGATTACACTAACTGATTTATTTTGTTTCAGAAACGGGACTTCTGGCGCACACAATAATGTTTCTGCTTATGCTTCTCATTCTACAGCGTAAGCCTGACTCTTCCATATTTGGTTTTATTTGAAAACGTAAAAGACTACGGGACTAGGTCCAAACATCAAACAAATAAGTTACCGTTTATCGAAAACATCAGATACAACATTCTTGAATTCTTGGTCTTTTATCAAAAGTACAATGATGCCCTCAAAGATTCTCGTCACATGGTCATAAACCTGCAATCAGTGATGAATGTTCCCTCTCCTGTTTCAAACTGTAGCTGAACCACGGTTTTACGGCCTTAACACCCATGTTTCTGTTCCAGTGTCTGTTCCTGCACATGCACAGGGCCCGTGTCCGAAGGACAAATACAGCAACTGTCTACACGGAAACTGCATCAGGAACGCAGCGGGAAGAACTGAGTGTGCCAAGGGTTGTGTAAGAGGTTTCTGGGGAACCGAATGTCGAATTCCATGTCCTGAACACTGTGAGGCGTGTAACCGATATGATGGAACATGCTTTATATGTTCAGGTGATGTGTATGGGCAATACTGTAACATTACATGTGACGCTATGTGCCATGGATTTCGTTGTAATAAACATGGAAGCTGCTTTAGCCCAACATGCCAGGACCGATGGTACGGGTCCAACTGTAGGAAACAATGCAACCAAACGTTCCTGAAATGTGGCAAAATCGATGGGGAGTGTATAACATGTAAAGATGGCTTCTATGGAATGAACTGTGAATTGGGATACAATAAATATGGTCTTGCAGAAGTTCAGCTGCAGGAAACGCGCGTACCTGGTTGTTCAAACGATAGTCCAACGGATCACGGTGAGTACATAAAAGCATTTCATCAATGTATATTGAAGGCCAACACATGTTTAAGGATTGAACATCTTGTTACCGTGCATAGCCCTCAGCATTAACCCTCTGGACTATGGTGTATATGCCCCTCCTTTTTAGACCTCACTTTGAAGTCGAATAAAATCCAAAACGTATCACGCACACTACACTGTTTTAAATTCTGCGGAAAATTTCCTTTTTCCTGTTTGTTGAATATGAGCTTTCAAAATTAATATCATTTTTTACATATTATAAAATCGCGATTATCGGCGCGTTATTTGGTATATATTGTGAAGTGTAAAAGTCGGATAATTACTCGGAGGACAGAATTTCTAAAACAGCATGGTCATGGTCACAGATATCCGTTTTTCGTCAAATCACCAAAGGTAATTCTGAAACGTTGCCGATAAATCTCGAATTGGCTAGAATGTTTTGGAAAATACAAGAACACAAACACCGAATTGGGCTTACCGCCATATCGAATAAAATTTACAACATCACGTTTCGCAAACGCCAGTGATGAGACGCCCTTTGCATCGCGTATAATTCATACTCAGTTTCGACAAGTACATCACTGAATTACTCATACATTTTAGAATCAAATAACAAATGGTAACCAAAATCAAGTGTCCAGATGAAATCAAACGAAATATATTGGATATGACAAAGTGATTCGTAGGAATATATAGGGAATGAAAAGTAGATACAGTACAATGATTTGATAAATACAAACGAAATTGTCAAAGTTTCCGTGCTGCGTGACGCCATGATTGACCCCCGAAAACAAATACCAATACGCAGATAGTCAGAATGTTTCTGATCAAGTACATCACAAAATTATATACAGTATACACAAAATGCATACGGGCTAACCACATAGTCATTGCCTTCGGCTGCACCCGAGCAACTGTCATCAGACTGATGCAACGACTAAGACAAACAGACAATACGTCAAACAGGCTTAGGAGTGGTTGACCACATGTGACAACGCCCAGTGATGGACGCCACATCCGGACAATCGTTTTGTAACGCCGCCAGGACACCGTGTCAGTCGACATACAGTGTACCGGCGACTAAGAGAACATGCTATTCGAGCAATTCGGCCCTGCTGCGGAGTGCATCCGAGGTCATCGATTGACATGGACCAGGCGAGTTCGACTTGGCAAATGCGTGATTGGCGACGTATGATGTTCAACGACGAGAGTAGTACTGTGATTACGTCCGGGCTCGTGTTTACAGACGAGCAAGTCCAACCATTTTGAGCCGATGGTGTGGGAACAGATCTGTGGCGATCTCGGAACGAATGCGAACCTGAATGCTCGAAGATACAGAGATGATGTTTTGCGACTAGTTATATTGCCATTTATCAAGCAACAATTGCATTTGCTACCAACACGATAACGCAAGGCCTCATACAGCAAGACTGAGAAACTGGATCAATAAATCACAACACTACAAGCGCCACCTGTCACTGCTCTGGAACAATGTCTCCTACAGGGATGGCAACAGATCACGCCGACGTCGAGGTTTTGGCCTGTATTGAAGCCAGTGGTCGTCAAACTCACTATTGATTCAACATTTGATGACATTTTGCAGAAAAAAACGCCTTGTTGATTTGTGTAAAAGTTCAGACTATGATTCCACGTATCTTTCAATGTCAGTCAAACGGTACTTTCGACTTTTTATGAAATGAAACTGTGTACATTTGCTGTAGAATTGAATACTCTGTTGAAATTAAAGACATTAAATATTTTTTCAAATATTTATAATGTCTGTTCTTACCTACAGCAAAGTTTCTCCATGTGACCAAGTGTTAAGCGTTGCGCAGTTATGCCACCTTATTTTGATACATTTTTATACCTCTGTCGTATGTGACGTCAGAGAGGAAAAATCACTTTTTGTCATTTATGGCAAGCCATTTGATACATTGAATATATATAGAGATTATTAACCGAGTGTGTTTCCGTATCATTAATATCATATATTATGAATAAAATTTGTATTATGCCAGCATTTGGAGAGCATAATACATATTTTTAATTGCTAATATATGATATTAATGATACGGAAACACACTCGGTTAATAATATCTTTATCATATAATGTCATTCTTAAACTTACTCTAAAAAAGAAGAAAATCGTACGTGAAATTATATATGAAGAGAATCGAGCATTCGCGTAAGAATACTTAGCGGTACACAAAGGAGGTGAAGGTCGTTCATGAGGGCGGCATATGGTTGAGACTAGTCGCTAATACAGTGCAAACATAACTCATGCCTAAAATAAGATCTTTCTGTGTAAAAAGAACAACAAAGTCAGGCAGGGTTTTCTTGGTAGTGTTTCTATTTTCATTGCGGGTAGTCACCTCATCAATGTCAGTTTCTGATACCTGACTTAATCGATTCGTCGTCTTCTTTGTTGTGATCGATAGATCGAAATCCTTGCAGTTGGTAGCTTTCTTAGACGATAGCCTGTCACTCGTGCCTAATAGTCCTTACCTACAATTTGAAGGAAGTTCTCCGTTTCGTGTTTTCCAAAGTCAATTACTGCAGTAACGAATCTAGAACCTCCGTCATCAATTCTTACAGAATCACCAATTTCGATAGTGGGGGGAGCCATGTTTGTTTACAAACTCGTCCACGCAATGTAAACTCGCGACGACGTCATCAATGAAATGTTACAGTTTAATATTCGCATTGCATATATGGTGTTTTAAGAAAGTAGTTCGTGGATTGACCTAATTTGCATAGTTATCAGATTTGGATACCAAGTTTATCATGTTGCTTTATTGCACCGATAACACCCTCCATTAGATGATAAGACGTTATACATAAGCACACAAATCCATTTCCTACACTGTCATGTCGTTCAGATATAAAGGCAGTATTTATTTGTTTTGTTGGTTTGTTGTTTAACGCCCCACTCAGCAATATACCGGTTACAATTATGACGGGGGTTTGTAAATAATCGAGTCTGGACCAGACAATCCAGAGATCAACAGCATGTGCAGCGATCTACGCAACAGACCAATCCAGTCCCGGCCGATAAGCCCCGCCCACTTCGTTTTTGACGTTAGGGGGGACAACCACTGACTAATCACAATGGCGTCACCGCAGGCGAAACGTACGTGATTGTGAACGTTGTTGATGAATTCTGCTTGTGGTACTTTGGTATCCGTCGTTTATGAATGATATTTAAAGAGGAAAGTTATACTTATTTTATATATAATATAGTTTAGTTGACGTATTGTAATTGGCGAGTGAAAATGAGTTACATGCCCGATGACAAATCGTCTCGGCCAGCTGCTGCCGTAGTGGGAAGCGTATTTTCTTTCGAACCAAATATTCTATCTGCCAATTCAAGTCTGACTAAGATATTAGCAGGGGAAGGGTAACTGAATTATGTTGTTTGTTTTCCCTCTCAAAACTTCCCATCGTGATTTTATATAAACCGTGAACATAACCACATGATCAAGTTGCAGATTGCTTCGGTATCTATAAATAGATTGTCAACACTGCGCGTGGCTCCTTTATTTATTCATCCGTTTTTCAAAATTAGTTAAATCAGTAATGTGAAAAGATGGGTTTCTACCTTTTAATGAACAAAGTAGAAAAATATTTCCCGTCTACTACTTCTTCCACCTTATATGTCTGTATATATTAATGTAAACAAATCAATCACAGCATAACCTATTTGATCTTATTTGGGAATCTGGAGAGGTGATTGGGCTTGAAAACAGTATGTTTCCATGGATGTATCTGGACATACTCAGAAGCAAATATTCAGCAGCTAATCTGCAGTAATTCTCAGTAATATTTCCCTCTTCAAAATATGTACACCATCCTAAAATGACACTGAATCCAAATTTTCATTCATCCTGTCCAATTTATTTTTCTATGTGTACTTTGTTGTCCTAATTTATTTATCCTCCAACAATTCTGGACTTCATGAACTGCCAGTATTTATGTACAGGTATGTCACACTACCATAACACAAAGAAGATCTAAGATACAGTCTGCACCTGTACACTGACCCATCTTCCAGAAATAGGAAACCTGTGATGCAAACTCTTTGAACAGAAGATCCAGAGTTATCCAAACAATTCACTAGGATTGAAATAGAATGTTAAATAAAATACAAATATACTTCTTTTTCTTCAGAGATATTTAACTGCTAACTACTATTGTAATAATTACATATTGACATTATTGCTTCTTAAACAATGGTAATCTTTGTTTTATTATCTCTGAGACCATATCCCTTAGGGGCATAACACTAATCCTGATCTGTTTCCTTTTCTGAGATACTTACTAGTGTCATCAAAAATATATTAAAGTTGTTTCAAACTTTGGTAAAAGTCAGGACAAATGTTTAGGCAAACACTCACGGAAATGTCCTGAAGCTTTACGCCCTGCAAACCAGTGGGCAATTTGATATGAAGCACATTTTCCAACTAACTATCAAGAAACCTTGAACAATTTGTCCAAAACCAACATCTTAATAAACACTACTTTAGCTTAGTCTTCAAATATTGGTAACCTCCTCAAAAGCTCATGATTTTAAGAAGTATTACATCAAATCTGGGTTGAATATATGTTTCAGTATTCATTCCAGTTACATGAATAGTCAACTGAGAAGTTTGTTAGTTATTATGTTCCAAGACTGAATAATGCCTGACCAGGGTGTGACCAAAACGTAGCCTTTGTTTTTTCAAATTCTCTGGTTGTAAATATATTATTTATAACACCAATGAGATCTTAAAGGAGGAGCCAACAAACTAAGTTAGTACCAAGTTATTGTTCTGTAATGATATGTATAGCGTGTTTGTTTGCCTATTTCTGCCTTGAAATCACATGATATGACAGTCAATTAAGTAATTATTTATGATTGATTAGATTACTATGTATTTTAATACCTTTGCACATTTACTAAAAGGATGCAAGATTCTTAAAACATACCTTGCTATCATTGACATTTGTGTTATTACTCCTAAAATGTACCGATGTAACTCCCATACATGTAAAAAAATTATGTTGTAACAAAATTTCAACACAAATGATGTTCTCATAGTTAAGAAATACACCTCTATTTCACTCCGTCCAATATTCCAGAAAGTCACGAATCTTCTCATATAGTTTTCGTCTCTCCGATCCACATGGAGTAAGGTAATTCAATTCAAGGTCCCATCTCTTTATAGAAATTCTGCAATATTTAAGGCATGGTTTTATAGACACGCATTTGATTAAATTTTGATATTTGGATATTGAGTGATAGGCAACTGCTAACAACTGCTATATTTCCGTTTGAATAGAAAACAAAATACTCCTCGAATATTTTGCACTATTAACAAATACAGGAAGCCTTCAGATTGTGCTTTTGAAACTTTAAAAATTCCTAAAATGTGTGACAAATTTAAGAATATCTAAGAGCGAAGGCAACAATATCCACCATATTGTTCTTTAATGTAACATGGTTTGCTATTTCGGTCGAGCCTGACCGAAATCTGATCGCTGTCAGATTTATTTACTTTGTGTAACGGTGTTCTCGCCTGTCTCATTTGGTACCAACTCAATGCCCAGTATAGACTTAAAAACGTTAAGCAAAAACAATTTTCCGTGTTTATAACACTTGCAAAGTCTAAAACTGCTACTTTTGATGTCATCTATTGGTAATAATTTTGACGACATTTAACTGATCGTGAGGCCTATCGCATTCCTTGATCCGCCTCAAATCTTTTGTCTTGACCGTAATGGTTTTGTTAAATGTAAACATCAAATCGCAGCAATATGTAATAGATACAGCGAGTGTGAATGTCATTATTCGATGCACATCGCCTCGGAGGCATCGTTAGACCCCGGAAATAAGTCTGACAAATCCACAAAGCGCGTCTGGCCTGTTGATTGGCCAAAATTGACGGTCTGTTGGGATAGTCAGTGAGCCTGACCTTTCGGTGTACGATAGAATTTTACTGGGTTTTTTTGGGGGCATAGCAAAATTGTGGACAATATTTCACAATGTCTACTTTTCAAACCGCCTGAGTATTTGTAATGGCATTTATATCATCGGATAGGCTAGTTAATATTCTACATATCCGTGTAAGTAAATAATCGTAGGTAGTTCCAGTGCTGCTCGAACAGAATTCTCGTACAACGTTCACTTTGCAGATCTTATGACACCCTTGGCATATAATAACATAAATAATAATTTTCCTGAGTAGTCCAGATTAGAATGTTCTTTCCTGCTTATATACGTTTTATACATCAATATCTATCTATTTACCAGTTCGAAAATGTCCCTGGTTACATTTTGATACCCTGAATAGTGTAGACATAATACATTAGTCGAATGTAACACGAGTTAATATCTGTTTTAAGATAAGATAGAGAAGATATAACTATATTATCCCAGAGGAAATTCTTTTTGTACCAAAATGGTCTCAAAATAAATATACCCATGCCAATAATGGTTGTCACCCCCTTCAAGTTTTTTAATAGGGGGGGGGGGGGACAACTATTATTGGCATGAGTATATAAACACAATTCACAAATTTATACACAATAATTCCTTGCACAAAATGAATGCTGGTTACACACATGTACAGTATTATACACAATACAATTAACCACATAGGTAAAGAGGCTGAATAATTCCAGTAGCTATCACATAATGATGATTCAAAACATTTGTTGGATTAACGAATACCGAATGGTATGAAAGACTGTCGAGCTCTGTTTTGAGGGAAGGGAATCGATAGCGGCGTCCAGAAGGAAGTAGTTCAAAATGGTGAGATAAAATATGGGAACTATCATTCTAATTTTAGTTGCTCTTTTGACAAACTCCCGCTCATAGAAAAAGTGAATAACTTGAAGACACTCCAGCAATTTTGCTGGCAGTATTTTAAGTTACCACACTGTCGTTTACATTTTATCATTGTTACTTTGGCCATAATTTGATTCATTTTAACATCAGCATTTAACATGGGAACAATTTGTCTAAGGTTTCGAAAATCTCCTGATTCTTTGGGTTATGTGTAGATACATAGGCCAGTTTAACAGTCTTAATTCTTGCTTATAATGCTGTTTTAATTATGTCTTTCTGCCTGTGGCTGTTTCTTTATATATTCAATCTTCTGCAAGTAGAATCGTGTATCCACGGGAGTGTAGATACGATTTCAAATCCATGTAGACATATTTGACACAATCATGTAAACACGTCTTCTAAATTATATGGAATGCTTATTTTTGTATGATTCGGTTAAAAAAAGAAAGAAATATGGATATTGCTTAGTATCTATTGGAATATAGTTTATATCTCTTTCAAGGTTACGTCCACTTTTTGACCATGGTCTCCAAACATGGAATTTCCGACTGACTAGAGGCAGTGGTAACATCCAGATGTTTGTTCAAATTGTGTAGAAAGCTATAAAACCGAGTTGATTTGTTGTTTTCAAAGGGCCACAGCATAAAGCAATCGTCAAGGAAACGTGGCAAAATTGTATTTTGAGACTTCAGGTCCTACATTTTAAACGTTTTCTTATACTTTATGTACATAAATCTTTGAAGATCCTGGTTAAAATTGTCCTTCAGCATCCATGCTTCTCGCATGAGGCGACTAACGGGATCGGGTGGTCAGACTCGCTGATTTAATTGTCACATGTCACATGTATCCCAAATGCGTAGATCGATGCTCAGGATGTTGATCACTGGATTGTTTGGTCCAGATTAATTACAGGCCACCGCCACAGCTGAGTTTGGCGTTAAAAAACAAACTATGTATGTAACTAACTGTGTCTAATTGTCATAGGGTGTCAGTTGGCTGAGACTCCTAAACAAGCGCACGCACACACGCACATAAACAAACAAACGTCGTCATATCGGTGCAGTACTCTTGAACGCGACGTTGATCCCCACTTCAAGCCACCTCTCTACACAACTATAACATTTTGAGAATCTTCCTACATGAATGTACTGGACTCAGAAGGCTACCGTAACTGTAATACTTATGGTGCTTGGTTGTACAAGTGGAGAGCTGGAACTTTTATCAACGTAAATGAATACATATTTAAAATACTAATAGTTGGGGTATTGTTAATATCCCTCCATAAACCGCAAAATATATCAAACATCATGAGTTCCACTTAACGACTTGACATCTTTAGTTAATCATGGTTTGATGTTGAGAAAGCAAGATTGACCTTTCCAAACATGGCTATATGCCTGCGACCACAAGCAAAAGAAAGTATGCATCGCGTAACCGCTGTCTCTGTGAAGTAATAATCAAAATAGAACGCTCTTGAATAAATGCTGTACAGCTGTTATGATAACCAGGTTTTCGGTTTTCATTTTCCAGTCAGGTGACGATAACTCATACTTTCCCGTGCTCGTCATACTACATCACTTCTGAGAAATACTGATACTTGACAGTGTTAAGTGTTACCATCACCTTGCTTTATGTCAGAAAATGTATTGTCACAGAAGTCTGACTTCCGCCATCATAACTAACAGGCCTTTGCAATTTATCTGAAAAAGAAAAGTCACTTATCTAAAGGTTTCATAACATTTAAAGATAACTCACTCTGGGCGTACCTCGCTTATGAGTTCATAATTGGCAAACAGGAATTTGAAAACAGAATCCTATTGATAATTATCTCACCTTTCTTGTACAGTGTATCCTTTTTAGGAACATGATGTTTCCTCTTTCCATTGTCATTTTCTGCTTCCACTAAACAGTATTTCTTTACAATTTCAGAAGTCGGAGGCTACCATATTTGCCCTGGTAAATCCCTAAACTGTCTCAATCACAACTGCACCAGAACACAGTCTGGTAAAACCATATGTGCAGCAGGTTGTGTTGAGGGATTTTGGGGTACGAGTTGTAGAATTCCATGTACAGAAAACTGCCAAACATGTGAATGCCATCAGGAAAAATGCACGAAGTGCAAGGATAATCAATATGGATTGTTCTGTAATCTCACATGTCAAGAACAGTGCCATGGATTCCAGTGTAACCAGGCAGGAACATGTTCCGATACAGCATGTACTGATGGAAGATATGGAGATGACTGTAGCCGAGAGTGTGGAAAAGGGTGCAAGGCTTGCAACAGAACCACAGGAGATTGTATCAAATGTAAGAGAAATTACTACGGAGAAACTTGCGATCATCATATAAATACAAATGACACGCCCGGTCAGTATGCCATTTACCACTTTCGATATTTAAAGGTAGAGATGACAAAACTTTATTGATGATCAACTTCTTTATTTTAACAATGGCGACGTTTCGGTATAGATTCTTATACCGTTTTCAAGCATATGGGGGAATAATGAGGTACACCAGTTTATATACAAGAACACATGATGTTGAGATAACAGTAACAAAGAAGGGAAGACAAAGCATCAAAGAAAGTTACAAGATGAGCTATAATAACATGATGATGAGCTAAGATAACATAAATGAGATGGATGGGATTACCAGGACAATTAGTGAATGTAAGTTACTTAAACGTCAGGGTAGAGTGATAACTCCGCCGTCACTTTCAGGTGTACTTAGTAACGCTGATCACTAATTACCATCTCAGTGTACATCAACTCATCTATTGTATAACCACATTCTACATATTGTGTTAATCTCTATCACTCTGTACATCAACCTACTCTGCTCAAATCACTAATTAGCAATCCAATGTATATCAACCTTGTCCATGGTATATACTCACTATGCAGCTATGTATATATTCTCCTTGTTACAAGTCTTTGTATCACTTGCTTGATAGCGGTGTTAGTACCTACACCGAAACGTCGCACTCATTGCAATAAAGAAGTTGACTATCCATAGAACTTTGCTTTCCTTAATTATCAATAAGCACTATAATGGCAACGCATGTGTTGGTTGAGCAAACAGGGGTGGATAGACTCGAAGAAACAAGCAAACAAAGGACACATTGACGACCATTATGTTAAGATTTCACCATGCTTTATCTCCCGATGTATGTATCCATTCACTGCAATAAAAGCCTACATATACAAGCTTGTGAACCTCTTGTAAAGATGAGGTTTTCAATATATTTACAATTTTGCAAAAATGAGATTTACCCCCCAAAAATTACAATTTTGTACATATGTATAAAGGCTGGTAAGTAGTGTGTAATGTTAAATGATTGTTCTTTGTATGTTCCAAGACATACTTTATATCAATACATCAAAAGATGATTGTAGGCAAAGTTCATCCCCTGTAAAGATTGTGGTGGACAAAGTTCCCGAGAGGAAAGTTGGGCAAAATTCCTGTGGGCAATGATCCGTACACCGTAATGAATCATGTTCAGTCAGTGGGTCGGGTAAACTTTAATTTAATCCTTGTAACGTAGGTGTATGTAGTTTGTAGTTATAGGAATAGTGACAGGGGAAAAAATATAACATATATAAAAAACATAGTAGCGCTTTTGTGGATAACAACTAAAGCATTAACACAACTTAAAACAGTATTTTGAAAAATGATAGTGATGCTAGCGGTTAATATATCATCATTCTTATCATTCAGTCAATGTCAATTTTTGACACATAGAACAAGAAGGATGCATATTGAGTGAAATTATACTAATATATAGAATTCGTTGTAGTTAATCACAGAGGACGGCGAATAGAAAAAAAAACCCAACTCACTTTAAACATTTTCCTAGCCTTTAAAAATGTATTAAAAGACAATATTTATACTATCTCTTCACGTGTAAGATGCTGTTGCATTAACATAAAGCATAAATGGATAACATTAAAATACGGCTTGTTCCTGCAGTTCTCATGTATAAACATGTGACATGTTAGAAGCATAACGTATATCAACACTATGAACTCAAATAGAACAAAAGATGCGTGAACTAGTTAAGTCATTGGAACAGGGGATCCTTGGGAGAAGGAGAAACTGAAAGAGGTAGTGGTAAAATCATTCCTACATTTACAAAAATTACAAGCTTAGTAAATATTACAAATTGTACATTTTTGTAAATCACCATTTTTTCTTGTGATTCTTCAGTCTGGATGCAGTCTAAATGATAAAGCAACAAAATTATTTCCATATCCGTAATCTAAAGAAGGAAACATGACAAAGAATGTCCACGTCTAATGAGTTTGTATGGCAAGGAAACAATTCCTAATCATTCTCTTTTTCAGCTACATTGGGGCCCTCAGTTTGGGTAGTTACCCTTGTATTCTCTGCAACGGTTTTCACTGCACTAGGTGTCGACAGAATAGCGTATCGCACAAGGAGAGGGTAAGTGGAAACAGTTCAGTGAATGTTCTATATATAGCAGTATCAGACATCGCATTGAGCCCAAACAAACTGTAAAGAATAAAAGTCGTCAGTGCTTGTGAGTCAATCCAAACCGCGACCACTGTTTTCTGCAGTGAAGGTGTTAATTAATATTCAAAGCACCGAGTGCAGTAAATGTGTATGCTTCTCGTCTATTTTCTTAAAAATGTTAAAGACTGTTTACAGGATTTGTTTACAAAAACACATAGTCATTATGATACAGAAACCATCACCAAGAACCAGATGTGTATTTGCTTAAAAAGCCTACGGACCCAATGCACTGAGATTAAAACCCCCCAATATTTCATTAATCGTTAATTCTATGATTATGTGCAATAATTACAATTGTCAGTGCAATAAATGGTTCGGTACATTGTCCGCTAAAATGATGTGTACTGGGTCCAGCTGAGAAGCCAAATGTTGAAATAAAGATACTAAAAATAATTTCCGAGTGACGAGGAATGACGAGTGAATTCATTATATTTTACGATCACTGACAAGTGACTCACAAATTGAATTCACAAAGGGTAGATAGTCCGCTATTCCTCGTTACAAGTAGTTTGTTATCGTGTTGCTCATCGTCAAATGTGAGCATCTGAATCGTTCTTACAGTCACCGTTAAAATGAGACGGGGCACATACTGTTCGTTGTTTTTTAAAACCACACCAAAACACAAACAAACTAGGTAACGATTCCGATACTCACACAGTTCAATTGAAACGTCTGTGTCATCTGTGACAACACTCTCGACCAGGATAGGCACCCGTGAGATTTCTATCGCCCCTTGTCTAGAATCGTGTGCTAATGACTTGTATTCAGATGTACGTACGGTAAGTTGACGTACATGTGTCAGTCTTACGTCTTGTTGTGAGAGGTATGGTATAGATTGTATGATCCACTATGGTGGTGACGGGAATGCGGTAAATTCCTTTCTTGAAATAAGCCCGCATGCCGATTCTCTAACAATTTTAATACTTATATTTTGGCCCCCATATAGTCATTTATATTCATACCACAACCAAGGTTCTTTGTATGACTATGTGGACCCTTCGGGTGCACTATACAATGTTTTTAGATATGCGCGTGCTGCGATCAAAGGCGAACATTACGTGCGATGCGTCTACCTTTCAGCAAATGTCATTTTTATAGTCATTGTCACTGCACATGAATTCTCAAAACTTGCATATGTTCCATATTTGTGCAATATAATGTACGATTGATGTAACTAAAGTTACATAAATTTGAAAGGTTGTACACAACACTTATTAACAAGCATGTGGCGTCAACCAGGACTGAAGAAAGAGATGGGGGAGCTCATGTTTCAGGGAATTCATGCAGGAATTATGCCAGTTGCTCTAGACACACTTATCACAGGACACATATCTGATGGGCATAATAATGATGTATATATACTGAACAGCAAAAGAAACGCAAGTTTGGAAAAAATGAAATCCCATGAAGGTAAGCGTTCATGTTTATGGAACGTTCATGGTAAAGTGACGTAATGATCCCAGATGAGATGATGTCATGCAATTTGACGTCCATACGAAACAATCGCAAAAACACACCAACAGTGCAGCAAAACCATAATTTTAGCATGTGCATCGACAGTTATGGATGAAAAGCATGCATTTCACTCTGAGGTATCCTTTATAAAAGTTTGTGTCAAAAAACAGTTCAGCATTGACGCCAGGAGGTGTACACGCCACACAAACGATGCCTAGACTAACGACTGAGCAGAGGGGAATGGCCATTGAAAAGTTACACGGAGGTAGCACTGCAACCGCTGTAGCTTGACAATTGGGCTGTCATCTTACCACCATTACACGACTAGCTCAACGTCATCAGCAAAGCGGGTAGCTGCTGATAGACCCAGTATCGGACGGCAACGAAGTGACAACTCATGCGCAAGATCGGTTCATCCGGGTCACTCATTTAAGGAACCGAACTAAAACAGCAACAGTAACAACAGCCTTAGTTCTTGGGTCAAGGGGAGCAGTGCCAAGCGATACGATTAGTCATTGTCTCCGGGCTGCTGGAATCCACTGCCGAAGGCCATATGTGGGGTCAATTTTGGCATGTCAACAACGCCAGTGACGTTTGCAGCCCTCACACAGCAAGGATTTCGATGGATTATCTGGCTCAGAACAACATTAACGTCTCTTTCACCGGATATGGCTCCCATTGAACATTCTGGGACGAAATTGGACGGAGGATTGCTGCAGGTAGACAGCCACTCACACTTGCGCATTTGGATTAGAGATTGGTGTTTGAGCGAAACCAGTTGCATCAGGCATTCTTTCAGAGTTTAGTGAACTCAATGAGGCCACGTTGTACGGCCTGTGTGCAAGCTCAAGGTGGCTATACGCGCTACTAAAGAGACTGTCACTTTTCGGGTTCAGGGGGTTTCTCCATTTGACGGACTGTGGTCAATTTGAACTTATTGCAATTCAATGTCAACAGCAACTTTTAGCTGTTACATTGACAGTGTTTTCTATAGAATAAATGATTAGAAAAAATTTTGGTTGTCTTCTATTCAAAAACTTGACAAAAAGCCAGACTTGCGTTTCTTTTGCTGTTCAGTATATTATGCTTGCACAGATGAATCTTCCAAACCAGCTTAAATAGTGTTGGAAAAGAAAGTGAAGAAGAATGGAAGCGGACATAACATTGGAACTCGGCCTGGGAAAGTACATGTTAAGATGTACAGTTCCATTGCCTAATCTTTAATGCAGTTACAGCTACATAGCTTGATATTACAACACACAAGATTTTTATTAGGTTAAAGACCAAAACAGTTTAGATTCATTGAATATTTGCCTGTGTGCATGGCGAGGTACGCATAGATAGACAACATTCATATTATTATTATTGCCCAAGAGTGAGGTTATGTGTAAACGATTCACAAAACTTAAACTTTGTTTCTTTCATTTAAAAAGAACAAATAAACTTTTGTATTTTTGTACTCTTTTAACCATTACCTATGAAACACGCGGAACACTAAATTGGTTCTTTAAAAACTTGTGCTTGATTAATACCGAGCGATTAAAAGTTGCCCAAAAGTCTTCACTCTCGCCCACCAAAAGCAACTACAGAGAGGTTAATTAACTCTGTGGCCAGAGCACTGCAACGAACTGGAAGTGACGTCATGCGAGGAAGGATTTTCAGTTAGTTGTATATAAAGTGTGTAACATGCTCGTCATTTTGCTGATTTCTTGACGTCAACGAAGACATGCCGAATCGTTGCGTTGCCGTCAAATGCTCCTGGAGGTCGGGTGATGGTGTCACCATGCACAGATTTCCACAGGTCCCCGCAGTTCGTGCTAAATGGGTTATGTTTGTGAGTGCGAAGCGAGCGTTGTCGAAGCCTGGAACGATATCTTACTTGTGTTCAGATCACTTCACGGAAGTTAAAGAATCAAAACTACTTACTAGTTGTAGTAAAATATGTATATGATTGATTTCCATGACACAACTTGTAACATAACGATTTCTTCCTCGGAAGCGAGGTTGTGGTCGAAGTGACAATAATATTGTAAGTAGTGTTATATTATGGTAAGGGTCTTGGGTCCAAGTGATGGTTCCGGTGAAACCCCTTTTCTAACTGACGTGCTGGTCTGCTTGGGGGAATTAACTCAGCAAAAGAGTCCGAAGTCACAAGAAGCTAATCACAAATTTTATTTACAAGAACGGAGAAACATGGGGTGGCCGCAGAGAGTCGGTACAACCCTCTGGGCTGAGGGCTAGAGCTGACCTGTGTTGGGAGTCTAAACCCTTCTGATGGACAAATGCAGTTAGAGACTTTTTATCTACAATTAAAACAATAAAGAGATTACGATTGGTTCACTGATACAAAAATGGGAGTAACCTACATTAGCCTATCAAATACAGAATATAGAAATGGGGTGTGTCCTTCAATGACCAGACAGGGCAATTACTCTTAATCCTGTTAATCCTATTTTAACAGGCACTAATCTCGATGGCACTTTTACTGGATGCTTGGATGCTTACCCTTGGCTAGATCTTAGCGAGCCTAATCTGATGTGTCAATTATAGGTGCTTGGATTACAATAGATGCATTTACTGTGGGCCATGTCTTTATAACCCTTCATTGGTGTTTGCTTAAAGTCTTGTAAAATAGATGATGACATGTTTACTTTATGAAAGTAGTTCATTTAATCGTCTGGTCATAACTCTGAATTACTGAAAGGGTTGCTTACAGCTTGAGTCCTCAATACCTTAGGCTAGGATTTTATCTTGAATATCTGTGAAATTGTGTAGCCGTAATTTATACCTATCCTATTGGCCATCCATTAAATACATATTTTACTACCAGTAGAAAGTAGTTTTGATTTTGTAACTCAGTGAAAACAAACCTAAATAGCATTCATTCTCAGACTGGCGGATGTTTGCAACAGGGCACCGCCATTTTTAAAAGTCGTGACGTCAGGGGCTAAAGTCTGTTAGAGAATTAATGAGATTATGGTTTGTTTTCAACAAGTTAGAAAATCAAAACTACTTTCTACTCGTAGTTAAATATGTATTTGAATCATGACCAAGAGGATTTTGCATGACACAACTTGTAACATAACGATTTCTTCCACGAAGCGAGGTGGGGGTCGAAGTGACAATACTGCGCGATAAATGTCTTGCTACATTCACGTGGTTATTGTCCACTCACCAGTATGTAGATACTAGTCAATGTACGTCTTTATATTTGGTCTTATAATCCTAATTAGTTTATTATCATACTTTTATGCATTTTGAAACTTAATAAAAAGCAGGCGATCTGCTGATACTTATAGTGAATTTATAACAGGACTGTAACATCTAGAAATTGTATAGTTTGCCAATGTGAATCATAATTCGTGTACGTTGTCTGTCTCATTACACTTCACTGCGAAAACAATGATTCTGTTGAATGCTACGACAAATGAAAATAAACAAAAAGCAAATGTGAA